TCTCCAAGTTTGCAAGCTTAACCAGCTGCCTTCTCTTGAACTCCAAGAAATGCAGCTGAGCCTTTCCTAATTCCTCACCATCTTCGTCCCCACCAGCCCGTGCCTCCCTGGCCCGCAGGAGGGATTCCCGAATGTCCTCCAGGTCTTTTTTCTCCTCCTCTACCCGCTGGACCTCGCCTCGCCGCAGCAGCTGGATCATCTCCTGCTTCTCCCGAAGCTGATCTTCCAGATGGGCCACAAACATGATTTGCTCCCTTTCCTGCTCCTCCAGCCTCCTTTTCTCCATTTCCAGCTTTATGTACTGTTCATCCTTTTCCCTTTGAAGCCGGTCCAGTTCTTGAAATATCTGAATCTTTTCGGCCTTCTCATTGTGGTTGAGTTCTCGGAGCCGTTGAAGCTCTTCCTTGACAAGGAGAATGCTCTCTTCCTCTTGTTTCTTCTTCTGAAGCTCCATTTCCTGCTGCTCCCGCAGCCTTTCCTCCTCGAACTTCTCCTTCTCGGCCAGCAGATCCCTCAGCTTGTTCTCTATGTGGAAACTACGGCGTTTGAGGCTTTCCTCCTGCTTGCGGATCTGGAGCTGCACGATCTCTGTCTCCTTGCGCTGGGTCTCGACCTCCTGCTGCATCCGCTCCAGCTCTGCCTTGTCAGATTTCTGCTTTTCCTCCATTTCCTCTATGAGTTTCCTGAAAGGCAAAACATGGACTCATCATTATTTAATCATGGTATGCACAGACTTTTCCCAAACTGAAATGTTCTGAAAATGGACATACATCAGAAAGCCAAACCCTTCTTAACAATTAAAAAAAAAGGAAGAACTGCTTTCCTCTTCAATTTTCAGCAGCATGCTGCTTAATTTGCTTTATTCTTTAACTGTCCAACATGTCATCTGCCTAGTCTCCCGAAGTCGCCTCTGATATCATTTCTTTGTAGAGCCTATAATCATAATGTGTTATGCATGACATAATTAAAAAAGCCCCCTGAGCTCCAAGAGACAGAACCATGCACAATTTAAATTTAAGTGTGAATAATTTTATTCAGCCCAATGACTAAAACTCAACAGAAGTTCAGTTACAAGATGACATTAAACAAAAATGCTATGCTGTCCTCATCTCACTGGGGTCGAACATCAAAGTCAAGATAATCGACAGTTCATTGTTCCGCCTCAGATAGCTACATTCTATTTAGCACTTCACCACTAGTTCAGGACAAATGGTGATCACCAAATGGACCGATATATCCCTTTATTAATGCAGAACACTGAGAATAACTGGAATCGCCATTAGAATACACAAACATGTGATTACAGTGTTACTGGGGTTAAGTGTCATACTTTCTCTCAGGAAACACGCTTCTCATTGTGTTCTAAATTAAAGTTTCGAGGTTGGGTGGCCTCCATCACAAGAACACATGGGTTCCATCTCCTGACCAACCAAACATCTTCTATGATGCTAAAAACTGAACTAAATTCACTTAGACATTCAAATGTCAGATTCCAAAAAATAAACACTTAGTTTGCAGATTCCCCACAGCATTGATTTCTACTCCAATATCTATCTTTTTCTTGGCTTGTTAAACAGGACAGGAAAAAAGAAAAGGAGAAAATACAGTTTTATTTTAAAGAATTATTTCGGAACATTCAAAAACTCCCCAAATTAATTAAACAGCCCAATACACAAACTCCCCAACATATAAGTGAGGAAATGAATATGAAGAGGCAAATTATAGGTGGGCGAAATACAAATGACCAAACAACAGAAGAAAAGATGTCTAAAAGGGAGGAGGTATAAGAAAAGCAAATCATCACTCTTCTGGCTTTTTAAAAACCCAGAGAATAGTTTAAGATATATATATATATAAATATATATATATATACACACACACACACATTGAAATTAAGTTTAAACTAATATACATTTTGTGTATTAAATTTAATTGGTGCATTAAATTTGCCTAAAGACTCTATACTCCCTTTCCCATAAGTATTTAAAGATGAACTGTTTAAAAATCTTAAACAGGTAATGAAACCAACCAGTTAAAAAGAAATGAACTATAGCCATTAGACGTGTAAATAACCAACACAGAGCAAGAGGGTGGCAGTGAAGACACTGATTAAATCAGGCCAAGATATTAACACAGAAATCCACAGACACACATCAACACAGAGTGTCAGGACTCGAACCCCATGTGGCTTACCTTTTACTTTCTAATTTTTCAAGTTCTTCACGCTGTTGCCGCTCAAATTCAAGTCTAATAAAAATCAAATGAAGATATGTCACTTTTCTAAAAGAGTTCTCTCACTCTCTTTAGAAAGAGACAATTTACAAAGCACATCAATTTTTAAGTATTATTTTTAATTAGACTATTAGCAAGTTTAAAATGCATTCTTTGCTCTATGACTATGCTTAGAAATTAGACATATTTTTAGGTGCTTGAACTCAGGCTGAAAAGAACAAATTTTAATTAAAGGGAAGCAAACAAAACACCACTGTACAGAAAATATGGAGTTAAATGAGACTTGTAAATGATAAGCTTGTCTACACCATGCAGTTTAGTCACTGATGAGTATAGAATAAGAGAATCTCTACCTTAGGCAGATGGGTCCTTTTATAGGGAAAAGACTGCCAGGGAGGTAGAGAGAGAAAGCAGATTTCATCAATTTAACAGGCAGAAACATCAAGAGAAAAGCAGAGAGGTACTTTAAAGCAAACAGCCATGCATAACTTCAACTGTCTTTATATAGATGTCACATTTCCCCAAAATTTCATTTAAAAAAACTAAAAACTTCTAAAAAGTTGGCTCTGTTACATTTTGTACACGTCCCACGATGATCACAGTGCTCATAATAACTGAGTACCAATACTGAATGAGAGCAGTCATCATACTCATATTTTTATTACATTATAAACAGTTACACTGCACGGAGTTTGTCAAGATTCTCTTGTAAGTAGCAGCTATGTGATATAGGAGTTACTGGAGGGTAGGAAGTTGCGAACAGATTTGCCATAGTGGCAGCAAAGAATAGGGATCTAGGTCATTGGGAATTTTAAAACAAGTCACTAAAATACTACAGCCTAAGTTGGTTTCTTCTCAAATATTACATGACTGCAAGTTTCACTGTTTCTATTAAACAGCCTGAATTGCAAGTCTTATACTTACAAATTTTCCCATTGTGGTAAATGGTAGATACAGCTAAAAAGCTGAATCATGGGGCCAAATGGTGGTGCAGAGCTAACACAACAGTCCGACACACTGCCTTACACATGGTAAGGTCCTGGTTCACAGCTGCTTCCCTGTCTGTGCGGGCTAGGCCTGCATAGCCTTGATCTACACTGGTTGGGGCTGGGGTTGGGTTGCAGTGTGAAGACCTGTCGGAGCTGTCTTGTCCTTCTCTCTCATAGAAGATATAACTGAAAAAAAAAAAAAAAAAAATCTATATACTAGGAAAGTTCACCATAAACCATTTCCTTTGGATAATGTACAAATTCAGACTGGCAACAGAGTTACTTAAAAATAAGCTAATGAATTTTTCAACTAAGTCTCTTTCCAATTTAATTTGGATTCACATTGAGAGTAAGACGTCTTGTGGTTCTTGTAAGTACAACTGGAGACCCTGTTACTGCTAAATAAGAGCAGGTGCTGTGCTGAGTGATTTACATGGTATCTCCCTTTGTTCTCCCAGAAAACTCTTAAATAATGTAGCAAAAAGTATCTCCATTTTACAGATGAGGAACTTGAAGCTTGTATATGTTAAACAATTTGACCAAAGTCAAAATGAACCTATGTACAGGAGCCAAGATTTGAATCCCCAGCAACCTGCTTCCAAAATACTCTGTTAACCCATTTTATGAGCAAAATTTTGGAATAAAATAAAATGATTAAGTCCTTCATTGAAACTGGTCCTTTGGGGTTATATCTATCTGACTATCAAATGATGTAGCTCATTAGCAACCTCACCATCCATGAGAAGTCAGTCCCATACACACACATGTGAAGCATTTACCCACCATGTAGCCCTATCAAGTGTCATTACATTAAGCAGGTACAGGAAATCTCATGAAAAATTATATGATTTTTTGTTTTTGTTTTGCTCACGGGTGCATGTGCTCACTGGAAAGAAACAGAGAAGACAGAGAGAGAGATAGAAGAAAAAGTACACCTGCTCCCTACCATGGAGAATAGTCATGCTGTAATCTCTTCTTTCTCTCCTTTCGAGATTTTGGGCACACACACATATGTGCTCAGTAAGTTGCAGTGTCTGGGACTCAAACTGACTGGCCTTGAGCTAGCCTGATCATTTTTTCATTTATTAAACAGGATCTTGGGAAAGTTTCCTGGTTGATATTTTCAGAATCCAGAAATAGTGTATCGTCTTTTCAGAGGTATTTACATAGTCAAAAAAGAATTGCTGGCTACAATATTTTTTAAAATGTTCCTAATGGGATTGTATTCATTCTCTGTCTTTATTTTCTGTGAACAATAGGTCAATGTGCCCAAGAGGAGGCACTGACAACATCACGAGTTGAGAGTCATAAGCCCGCTGCTGCTCTGAGGCATTTAGATGAGAGCCTGTCATCTGAGGGTTGTTTACAACATGTAGGATTTGCGCTCTACACTTAGCATGTGCTATCCTCTCTTTTTGTTCCCTCAGTCTTAGAAGGGTGATGCATTTATTGTCCTGATTTTACAAAGTAGTTGCTTGACATGTAGGTTATGAATGTAGCAGAGAGAGGACTTGAATCCAAGTTTGGTTATAAAATCTGGGCTGCTAACCATTACAACTATTGCTAACAAGCTGCACGGTCTCATGAAGGTTATAAAATTGCAGTTGAAATTTCTGTCATGATCCTCAATTGAAACAGAAAATGTTGAGTCAAGCAACCAGAGAGAAATTCCCACTGTAATTCTCTTTATTGAGTTTCTTTCACACAAGTGAGAGACAGAGAGGCACACACTCTCAACAGGGTCTCATGCAGTGATCCCCAGCCTTCTCAGCCACCCAGAATCATCGGTGTGCAGCCGGTGTGTTCAGGTCAACCAAAGCGTTGAACCCACAATCCTCCCTGTGGATCTGGTACCACTTGAACAGCACACTACCCCTACACTATTGAGCCAACCCCTACTGTAATTCTTTTCTTTCTTTCTTTCTTTCTTTCTTTCTTTCTTTCTTTCTTTCTTTCTTTCTTTCTTTTTTGCCACAGGAAATGTGTGCTCACCTAAGAGACACAGCGACAGAGGGGAAGTGAGAACTCACCCCCCCAGGGAAGATGGCCATATCGCAGTCCATCTCTTCCATTCTCCCTTCAGGATTTTGGATATGCATATGCGTGTAGCCAGAGTAATTTTTAAGTGGCTGGGTCTGGGACTTGAACCACGGTTAGCCATGTGGAAGCCTGGTACCTTAACCACAATGCCACCATGTCCCACTGTAACTGGCTTTTTGCGGAAGAGATTATTTTTGTTTTTAGTTTGTTTGTTTTTCTTTTCTTTTCCTTTCTTTTCTTTTTTTTTTTTTTTTTTTTTTTTTTTGCTATAGGGCTCATGTACTCACCAGAAAGACAGAGAGCCAGAAAGCAAGAAATCACCCCCCCCCAGGGGGGATGGTCACTCTGTAATCCCTTCTCCTCCGTTCTCTTCTCAGGATCTCAGGCATGCATGCGCACACACCCATCGTAAGTTTAAGCCACCGGGTCCAGGATTCAAACTGCAGTTGACTAAATGGAATTCCAGTGACATAGCCATTATGCCAACAGCTGGTCCCACTCCACTGTAATTCTTAATAAAAAGGTAGGATTTCATTTTTATGATCTCATCCTAAATAGGGAGAAAGTGTGGCTGTTCTCTGCTGAAAACAATATACTCGTGATAAATAATGATTCCCGTTTCACCCAAAACAAGAGTAACGATGAAAAGAATGCACAATATAAAGATGCTTAGTCTTAAAACAAACTGTATGAGAAGAGAGTTGTAACTTCAAAGTTAAGAACTATATTTTAAATATGAGCTATTGCTGGTACTGTATAATTTGTGTTATATATTACATATTTACTAAATTATACTTTAAAATCCTCCTCTTTCCAATCAGTGATAATTATTTCAGATAGCAAACCTCAATAGATTGTAAAATATAAATGTGAATATTCAGTATCAAGGAAAGAATATCAACTATAATTGTATTTGAACATGGCTTCATTTTTAAATAACTGCAATTTGCTAACTTACTTTACTGAATTATGGCCTCACATGCTAATTTCCCAAATGATGCAATTAAAAGGAAAACCACAAAAGGTTGTAATTTTTTACAGCTGATTTCAGTACTTTAAAATGACATTTGGAAGGAAACATACTGAGTGAGGTCCAACAAAAAAGTCCACCATAGCACCTATTTTTACCAGAAACCACCTTTTTTTTCCCTTTTGCATTAAAAGACACCCAGCATTTTTAGTTATAATTGCACATCTTGCAGTTCATATCTCCATTATCATTGGCAATAAAAATGGGACGGGATGGAAATTTCTCAACTGACACCACTATGTTGAATGTGAGACTGTAATTTAAAAAAAAGGAGAAAAGATAGGAAAATGTAAATGCACTGAAAGCATAAATTTTTACATCTTCATGTTGCCATAATAGTGATTAGTTTTATACCGCTGATGTCATTTCACTCTCGAAAGTAGAAGCATGGCTATGTGAGTTCAGTTGACATTTGAACTGGCAACTGCACAGGGATGTCCAGGGAGGATAAGGGAAGCTGAACTCCAGACACAACGTGAGCGGAAAAGGAGACTGCACCTGGCAAGAGAGGTGAGCTGACCCGTGTTACTAGTAAAGTCCCACACAGATGTTTCACTCTATATTCTCGGTGGGTAAAGGATCAGATAAGGGAAAAATTCCTGGTCAATAAGTAGGTCTGGATTTTCTGTAAGTGACTTTTAGATCATAGTCAAATAGAGGGATGACTGCATGGGCATGTTGCACTGAGCCCTGAGCTCATGTAGACCCTGCACCTGATGCTCTGCTGTTCCCATCTTGAAATTCTTAATATTTGAGTAGGAGTCACAGATTTCCATTACTTACTGGGCTTGCAGATATACTGCAGTTGTTTCTGATCAAGTGCATATTATTTTTGAAAGAACCCCTGGCCTAAAATGCTTGGTGGTATTCCTGAGTCTAGATTTTGGTAAAGAAATATTGATAGAAAAAGACTAGAACTCAGTAAAAGATGGTTCACTTTTCCCTGACCCTTCACAAAGGTTGAGGTTCTGATCATAGGGGGATCTGCATGGTTTAGACCAAAATTATTGACCTTCTTTCACCCTTATAACCCTCAGGAACTTGCAGCCATCAAATAACCTTATAACTGAGAAAATCCCAAAGAAACAAGGTGATCTTAGAGACTAAAAAGAAAGTTTGAGTTTGGGTGGTAGGCTTTGTTCTGGTCCTAGACAATCTTCTCCCTGTCTTGAAAACTTCAACATTCTAGATGTTTTTTGAAGGTTGAATGTAAAGTGGATTATTCTTCCAGTGTACAGTCAGAGAAACTGATGAAAAGAAAAACTTGGCAGAACCAGCAGTTAGCGTAATGGCTATGTTGCTGGACTCCCATGTAGTCGGTCACGGC